GTGTGTCACGTGCTCGTTATCTGTGCGACAGTAACGTGGTGAAACGGTGTGTCACGTGCTCGTTATCTGTGCGACAGTAACGTGGTGAAACGGTGGTTCACGTGCTCATTATCTGTGCAACAGTAACGTGGTGAAACGGTGTGTCACGTACTCATTATCTGTGCGACAGTAACGTGGTGAAATGGTGTGTCACGTGCTCGTTATCTGTGCGACAGTAACGTGGTGAAACGGTGTGTCACGTGCTTGTTATCTGTGCGCCAGTAACTTGACGAAATGGTGTGCTCTGGATCTGTTTATGTACTAGTAACCTGAGAATGAAATTAATTGTTTTCCTCTGTTTCTCCTCCACAGATCGCAAACCCACGGTAAGCCTTTGCATGCTCTGCTGACTGTAGCACACACAGAGCTGTGTACTGCTTTCACTATAACGGGCTGCTTGATTTTGCATTTGTTTTACTGTATATGCACAGACTAGGCATACATAGACAGATATGTGTGGGTCTTAGCACGCTTGCCTATACATGCTTGTATTTTATCATGTGTATAAGCTGATGCAGGGTGGAGTGGTGGCAATGTGGCTAAGGATCTGCGCCTGTGGCTGGAAGGTGGCAGGTTTGAATCCTGTGGGTGGCAGAGAAATCCTACTCTGTTGGGCCCCTGAGGAAGGCCCTTAACCCCAACTGCTCCAGGGGTGCCGTACAAATGGCCAACCCTGCGCTCTGACCCCCAGCTTCTCTCTCCCTGTCTGTGTGTCTCATGGAGAGCAAGCTGGGGTCTGTGAAAAGACACATTGCTAATGCAAGAAATTGTATATGGCCAATAAAGTGATTTTTTCTTATGTCATTTCTTTTGAACTAATAGCCTACATGCCAAGTGGCAATGCTACAGGCTCCACAGCCACCCTCTCAAATAATAAAGTTCTGACTCTTCCCAAAGTGCACACAGCCATCAGAGATGCTGGTGGGGCAGTAGAGATGATAGCTGCTTGCTAGACGCTTGATAGTTTGTCTCAGCGCACAGGGGCATGGGAGTGGAAGTATCTGTTTGCTGTAGGCTTTAGACCCTTGCTTTCTTGGTGTCTGTGGGCGTCCGGTGATGTTGCTCCTGTCTCTGCAGTGCTGCGGTCTGATCCTTCTGTCTGCTTTTTCTCCCCTCAGCCTCCCCGGAAGAATGATTCTGAGGACCCGGAGGCGACCACCGTGGTCCAGCCGGCGTCCAGCAGCACCCACCGTCCACGCTTGCAAGGTACGGCCAGCCCCCCACACCCCTGCTTCACACACACACACTCACACTGCCCAGGGCCCGCAGCAGAGAGATGCTTTACTCTCTGAGTGGACCTGTGTGCGTTCTCTTCTTTTCACCCTGGCGGTGTGTGTGCGCGTGTGCATTTGTGGGTGTGTCCGTGTGTGTGTGTTTGCCTGTGTGTGTACATGTGCGTGCATGTTTGTGCATATGTACTTGCTTGTGGTTGTGTTTGTGCATGTTTGTGTTCGTACATGTACGTGGGTGTTTGTGTGTGTATGTACTATACATGTGCATGTGTTCGTCTATGTACATGTGCGTGTCTGTGTGTATGCACATATATGTGCGTGTGTGTTTGTACATGCATATACAGTATGTACTGTATACGTTTCCAACAAGGAAGATAGCACCAGAGTGATGAGACATAGTTCTAGAGTGTGATTGCAGATGGGATGAAAGATTTTCTGAGTGTGTTACTGCATGTGTGCATGCAAGTGTGTACTGTACGTGCATGTATGTGCTGTATGTACACGTGTGTGCATGCATGCATTATATGTGCATGTATCTACTGTATGTACATGTGTGCAAAGGGTGTGTGTGCATGCATGGGTGTATGTGCATGCATGTGTACGTGTGTGTGCAGTCGTGTGTGTGCATGTGTATACTGTATGTGCACGCGTGTGTGTGCATGCATGTGTACTGCATGTGCACGTGTGTGTGTGCATGCATGTGTACTGCATGTGCATGCATGTGTACTGCATGTGCACGTGTGTGTATGTGTATGTGCAGCAGGGAGGTGCGACTGCTTTTCTCGTCTCCATTAGAGGGGGGAACCAGTTCTTTTGCGAATGTGCTTTTTATGCTTCAAGCAGCTCATCCGTCGAGTCAGCGCGTTTTCCCATCCGCCAGCGTATCCCAGGACAGCAACCTGATCTGTGAGGTGGCTGGGGGAACGGCGCCCAGAGCAGGCGGGGCCCGTTGATTTTAGCAGAGGGCCAAAAGAAACCTCGGCCAAATCCTAGGATAAAGGCGTAGACGCCGGTCTCTCCACAACTGCTTAGAGCTGCAAGCCTATAAAGAGAGGCCACGCACAACATCCCTGCATAGAACTATATGCTTTCAAGTGATTCAACACCCGAACTTCACCGCTGCAAGTCCTGGTTGGAGTAGGGACTCAAGAATACAGTTCAACTCAAGCGTTCAATTCAACGGAAGTGGATCTGTGCTGCAGCCCAGTCCAAGTCAACAAGGAAGACAAACATCTCCAGCAGGGAGGAGAGTACTGCAGGGCTTCAGGAGACGAGACGTGGTTTGAGCTTGGTTGTGGTTGCAGACGGGGTGAAGCATTTCTCCTTGTCTGTGACTGTGCCATTGGGGGTTGAAGTGTATGGCTGCCTGTTGTGTGATTTTTAGACCCAACACCCTCTTTTTTTTATGACTGATGGATCCACCTGGTTTTGGCGCGATAAGAGTTTGGAGAAAAGGAGTTGAGACGCCAAGAAATAGGAGCTTCATGTTTCAACTTGGACTGTGCTAACCCCTGGTCTCATGTCAATAAGATAAAATAAGATAAGCCACTATAAAGCCACTTGTATATCCCAGATGTCTGCCGTCGCAACCCCCAATAATCCTGCATTAATAACGCTCTCTGTATTTTGCGTATATTAGTACCAATGGATCATTAGCTTCCCAGGTATGTTCGATATTTCCTTCTTGGCCAAGAGTATGGTTCCTTCATCTCTTTACTCCCGAGAATGAGCCAGTCCTCCTCAGTCATGCTCCAATCCCAGAGTTCCTTGGGGCCCGCACTGTTTCCCGCAGTTGTAGAGAGAAACATCGGCGCCTCCTGGCCCAATGGCGGAAAGCTGACAAAATGGGCACAAGAGCCCCATATCGAGAGACCTATTGAAATGCATCATCGTGAAATCACTGGCCAGCTCTTCAAAGGGGAACTGCTAGGCTATTTTCATATTTAGGGGGTTAGAATGAATCGGCATTGAGGAGTGCAATTCAGATCGCAAAAAAATGAAAATGTACACAGTAATGAAAATCAGAAGTTTTACACATCACAAACTAGAGGACAGGTCTGCGCAGCGCCATGTTTTACGATTCAGAACGAGGCAGCAGGACTTCCGGTGAGGTGAACGGTCCCTGTGACCCTGTAAACAAGCAGGCTTGTGGGTCCAGCTCTTCTAATCCAGTAGAAATACTGCTCTCCTCTCCCAGACGGTTTCACTGACAAATACTGCTCACTGGTTAACTCTGCCTGCGGATCATGCTGGAACATTTCTGCAGTGAAATGTCTGCTGCACAACCTGTACTTATACACTCGTACATCTCAGTACATTAGTCATGACAGGGACTAGTGAGCAGGAAGGGCCACTCATGTCACAATTCTCATGAACTCTCGACAACATGGCAACTTGCAGTACTTTTCACAAAGTTTGCAATTTTAATTGCAATTTGTTTTGTCACTGAGATTTAATAACACGTCTGAGAAAATTGGGACTGTGCCCCCCCCTTTAAGTCTCTGCCTTGGGAATGAATATCCCAGTCTCTCACCCGAGTCTGAAAATCTCCCGCACGTGCCTCAAGTCCTCCAGATTGGTTAAAAAATATGAAGCGACGAATGTAAAGTTGCGAACTTGTTGGCAAGACGTTCATTAATCCCACACCTCAACTAGCTTGTTATCGCAATAATCGACCAAAAATCTTGTGCATTCGAGTCTTGCACCCTCGAGAGAGCTGTGTGAGTAACTGACGCAGAAAACAAAAGCTGCATCATCAGGTCAGACAAATACTATGTACCTACGCCGCCTGTCACATCATCTTCAAAATGTGTGGGTTTCCTCCCACTCTCCAAATAGAGGCTAATTGGCTTCAGGGAAGATTGGCCCCTGGTCTGTGTGTGCCCTGTGATGAACTGGTGTCCTGTCCAGGGTCTACCCTGAATTGCACCAGGGCTTGCTGGGATAGACTCCAGCTCCCCCTGCGACCCAGAATTGGAAGAAGCAGTTAGAAAGCGGAAGTGGAAAACAGACGCAATGAGCCCGATATGATGAACAGCACTTCAGTACCAAGAAGAACACGAGGATGTCTTGATGCAGGCAGAAAATAGCAACAAAGCGCTTCAAGCACATAGCTCTCTCCCATGGGCAGTATACAGTTTATATATAATAAACGTTCATATTTACTGATGATCATTCTTTTGCTTCCACTAACAACAACCACTATTTACACTTCAGCCATTTTATATCATCTGCAGGCTGTGTTCACCTGCTCATGCGGGAACAGATCTCAGGCGTGCTGACCCTGAGCTCTTCGCATGTGTCCTGTGTCTCTTGCAGAGGTCATGTCCAGGCCCACCCTTTCTCCCGTGGTGAACGTGCCGGCGGAACCGCACCCCAAGATGCCAATGGAGATCGGGCAGACCAAGTTCACCCGTGAGTCCACTGTCCTTTGAACTTCCCGTTCCGGTTCGAACCCGGAGCTTCGAGGCACTGGGATAGCTGCGTTAAGGGCTTCATGGCCTTACGCAGCCTGTGCTGCAAAAACACCAGCTCTCAGTGGGGAGGAGAGCAGAGTGATGGAGCCAGTTCAGAGAGGAGGTTATTAGGAGGCCATGATGGGTAAAGGCCAGGGGGAATTTTGGCCAGGACACCGGGGTAACACCCCTTCTCTTCTCGAGAAACACCCTGGGATTTTTAATGACCACAGAGAGTCAGGACCTCGGTTTTACGTTTCATCCGAAGGACGGCGCCCGTTTACAGTCTAGTGTCCCCGTCACTATACTGAGGCATTAGGACCCCATACAGACCACAGGGTGAGTGCCCCCTGCTGGCCCCACTAACACCTCTTCCAGCAGCAGCCTCAGCTTTCCCAGGAGTCTCCCCTCCAGGTACTGACCAGACTCACACCTGCTGAGCTCCAGTGGGGCTGCCAGTGGTGAGTTGCAGGGTGTTATGGCTGCTGGTGAACAGGAGTTGGTTAGAACACATTTTGGCTATGTGTGACACCCGAGGAAGGCTCCACAACCAAAACGTTGTGTTTCTTTTCTTCTCTTTTCAGCATGTTCCTTTGCAGCCTATGTGTGCTGACGCAGCTACCTACTTGAATTTCCATAAGTGTTTAAAGCATACCTTGCTTTTTGCCCTGTTGAGCCAAACTGTTTCTTGAAAACATCCAGGACATCGGCTTCAACAGCATGGCTAGGCAGCTTGTTCCACACTCCCACCACCCTTTGTGTAAGGAAGGGAGTCTTTCCTAATTGCAGGATCCAGGCTACCTGCTCCAACAACATGGCTAGTTTCACACTTCCACCACCCTTTGTGTAAAGAAAGTCTTTCCTAACTGCAGGACCTCTTCCAGCTGATTCTTGAAAGAAAGCAGGCTATCTGCTTCACGAACGTGACTGGCCAGCTTGTGCCACACTCCCACCACCCTCCGTGTAAAGAAGAGAGTCTTTCCTCATTGTGGGATCCAGGCTACCTGCTCCAACAACATGGCTAGGCAGCTTGTTCCACACTCCCACCACCCTTTGTGTAAAGAAAGTCTTTCCTTACTGCAGCCAGGCTATCTGCTTCAACACCATGGCAGCTTGTTTCATTTAAATGCACTTCCTCATAATTTCTGCTTGTGCCCTCTGTTTTTTTTTTGTGCCTGAAAGCTTGTGATCATCAGCTGCTCCGTTACTAATTGTTTGTGGGTCCCCCCCCCCTTCTGTGTTTTCCCCTGTCCAGAGACGGACGAATGCAGGCTGAACAGGAACATCTGTGGCCACGGAGAATGCATCAACTCTGCCAACGGCTTCGCCTGCCTCTGCAACACTGGGTACAAGGCTCACGCCCAGAGGAAGTACTGTGTGGGTGAGGAGCCCGTGCCCCGCCGCTCACAAGCTGGCTCTCAGAGAGTCCTGGGCAACGTTCCCTCTTAGCCGTGCGCGTGTGCCCGTGCGCACACAGGTCATGAAATCAGTGCACATAGGAAATTGAATTGCACACAAAAAGTTGTGTGCATTATTTTTGCTACTTGATCATCAATATCGATGTTCTTGTAGTCTCGTACCTCCCTGCTCCTGTCCGCACGGACACTCGGTCTCTATGACTGGGCTCATGGAATTGCTGTCCCGGATCTTTTGGATCTCTATGCTTCTATGAGGATGGCTATATTAACAAAAAAATAATTTCAGGTTTACAATTTGACATACGCTCAATTTAGTGCTCACAAGGTTTTTGTCACTGGGGAAGAAATTTGCACAACTTTAAATTTCTGCGTGCGCAGGCCATTAGAAATTAGAGGGAACGTTGGTCCCGGGTGGGTCGGTCTGGGAAGGCAGAGGTTGAGCTCAGACAGGGACCTGGTGACAGCGTAATGAACCCTGGGTCAGCACTGCTGCCTGGCGGCGCTGGGGACCTTGGTTCAATTCCAGACCTGGGGGTGCTGTCTGTGTGGAGTCTGCATGGTCTCGCCATGCTCGCGTCCTACGGTGCAAAGGCAGGCTGGGAGATTAATCGGCTTCTGGGGCAATCGGCCAGGTGTGTCTGTGGGCGCGCGCTGTGACGGACTGGTGTCCAGTCCAGGGTGTACCCCGCCTTACGCCTGTTGCATGCTGGGATAGGCTCCAGCTCCCGCACGAGCCCGTACTGGATAGAGTGGTTAGACAATGGATGGATGGACCAGGATTCGTTTAACTGCCAGCTCACAGTTAGCACTATGCTGGGCACTGGGCAGCCAGGGTCTCTGTTCTCTTTCAGCTGAATGGTGACGCCTGTCGTTTTTGCCCGCTGTTTGATGACTTCAGCAAAGTCCTTCAACAGGTGCTGCTCCTCCCGTTAGGCGCAGTGGAGCTTGTGACCACCTCCTGAAGAGTGGGCACGCCGTGGGGGAGAGGGGGCTGCCCACAGGCATGGTGGCACTTGGGGGTGACAACCACAGGGGCACGGATAGGAGTAATAATATTAATAATAATGCTCACACTTCTATAGCGCCTTTCCTGGACCCTCCACCCAGAGCTCTTTCCAGGTCCTGGGGATCCCCCCTCCACCCCCAGCAGTGTGTACCCCCACCTGGATGAGGCGCCAGTCCGCTCCCCACACCCCAGCTCTCAGTGGGGAGGAGAGCAGAGTGATGGAGCCAGTTCAGAGAGGGGGGTTATTAGGAGGCCATGATGGGTAAAGGCCAGGGGGAAATTTGGCCAGGACGCCCAGTAAGAGGAAAGTTCCCACTAGATGCCTGCCTGTTTGACTGCACTGGGGGGGGCACTAACTGTGGTCCAGGTGATGAAATGAGGAGGTCTTCTCGGTTTCAGACGACAACGAGTGCGAGGCGGAGCCCTGCGGCAGTGGGCGGGGCCAGTGCATCAACACGGGCGGGTCCTAC